GGCGTCATCCATGGAAAGTGTGAATCCATATCTCGTCGAAGGAGCCCCGACCAGAGAGTTGGCGTAGTTTCTTCGTATTGCAGCCATGTGTACGGCAATTCGCATGCGGAGCACTCTTTCAGTTTCTCCGAAGTAGTTGTTTTGCCCGCAACGGCAACTGATCTACGATGCGATTAGAAAATATACGGTCAGCATTTGACAGTTTTGACAAAAAACTTCAGCAATTGGCAAAACTGAACTCGTTCTTTATGTTTAAAAACTAGTGCGATTCCTTACACCTCTTTCTACCTGATGTTTATCAACTTAAGATCCGATTTTAAGGTGCCGAAAGAGATTTAGTTCAAAAATATGTTGCTTCCATTGGTGTTCATTTATGGCACAACGCAAAAAAAACAAGGTGTTTTGTTCTGCTTATGAAATGGCGTAGGAGATTGCTGGGATATCCGACAACCTCAGATCTCGCCAACACCCAGCCTAGTTTCCTCAAATAAAATGAATTGAACATGCAGTTGTCTTTACTAGAGGGCTTTCCGAGCATCATATCCACTCAACAGATCAAATGCTTAATTCCAATTTCGGTCATGCCTTTGCATGAGTTGGAGCAACTACTGTAAAACAAGACTATAGGGCCAAGTGGAAAAAGAACAGCGAATCATTCCTTCTTTAGAGATTAGGCGAATATTATCTTTTTGTCAGGTGTTAACTTTGCCGTCTCATTCATGCGTAAAATGTTCCCATTTTGAATATGTAGGTCAACTACCCCACATTTTATTTACTGTCAGTCAGACATACAGTTTGGGCATTTACAGTAGTCGCCGAAACACATGTCGCAACATGCCGACATATGCGACAGATTTGTACTCTTTCGCTAATCGGCATGGACTCAGGTTGTGATACTCATTGTCTTGTAGTCTATTTTGAAGCCATTTCAGTCATGATAGGATGCGGGCTTTTTAACGAGCTTCGTTCTGACTACTAACAAAAATTGTCTGTTGTAAAAACTGGCTACTTAAATAGTATACCTTTTTATCATTTACCTTGACTATCTTTATAAATTCAAATATTTGAGTTGACCCAATTGTGAAAAAACTCGAGGCGTTTGGCGGGATTTGAATCCGCGCATCAGAAAAGGCCTTTGCTGGAGGCCAATGCTCTAACCGCTAAGCTACAAATCGCCTCGCGCCATGAATTTAATCACACTTGGGTCGATATTACCCGCCCAACTTTACCGCTCACTTGGGTCGATATTGCCCGCCCAACTTTACCGCCCATATGGAATCCACCAATGAACAGCAAGCTGACTGCCCAAGCAGGATTTCCTAAGCAATCATCTAGAATCCCCCAGAATGACTACTAGGCTGACTTAATTATTAAGAGGTTTGGCAGATTTTCTTAATTTAGGTTGGCCCATTTGTGAAAAAATGCCTCCAGTTTTTCCACAATTGGGTCAGCTCAAATTAAGCAAATCTGCCAAACCTCCGCATAAATTCAAATACATGTTATGGAACATACGCACGAAAAAAATTATTTCTTTTACTTGTTTGACAGCAAATTACGCCTTCTTTAAATTTTATACTCAAAGAAGGGGTATTTTTTTAGTTTTAAAAAAGTGTCTCAATTGTCGAATAATGTTCTAAACTACTGACTGCTACACTTGAATTCAAGGTTTACAAACTGCGCACTGTGTACATCCTGCTTAAGGAAAAAACACTTTTTCACCTACAGTTTGAGGAAGAAGTCACATATTTATCAGAAAATGTTGCAGTAGGTGTGAAACATGCTTATTACAGTATAGGCAACATTAATAAATTGACGGATAAGATGTATTCTGAATAAACGTCTCAAAATGGTAGAAAAGCTCATAATTAACAACTTTTTAAAACCGAAAGCTACCCTTTCTTTGAGTATAAAATTTAAAGAA